TTAAGATAAGAGGACCTACTGTTCAAAAGAATAAGGCCACCCAGCAGGGAGGCTAATGGCTGTAATTCATATGTGGCTGGATGCCGGACCTCAAATATCACCAGAAGGATCATGAGTGAATGCCATCTGGAGTGAGGAATAGACAGTGGGCGAAAGCCCAGACCCCATAGGGGAATCCTGGGCCACTGGTCCTAGGTCTGCAATGGTCAGTGGGGTCTGCATGTCACCTACCTTGTTTATATTTAGGTTTTTTTTTTCCCATCTAAAAATACTCAGGTTGGACAAAGCAGATCCCAAGATCCCTTCGACCTTCATAGTCCTTTAATAATTCATGTAGGAAAAAATACAGCTTGAGATGATAACGCTGGTGACACAAAGTAGCCGCCAAATGGAACATGCTAGCCGATCAATGTTCAACTAAGCAAATACACTACAGATGGAAAGCGATTCTTAGGAAGGAAAAACAAGCAGCGCAGGCCCAAAGCAAGCCCGCCCGCCCTATTTCTTTATAATCAATGCTGTTTCTAATTCGTCTGGGACTTCTTGAGTCCAATTAAACACAGCTAGGGCTTGAATCATCCAAGATCTCACATCCCAGCCCTGTCAGTTTGATGATCGCTATTTTTAACATAGAAATAAATGGCTTCCATGCTTAAAAGCACAGGGGAGGCAAGGCCAGCCTGTGACGTGTGCCTCCTCTCTCCTGCCTCCCTGCCACCCCTCCCATTGTCCCCCAAAGGCTGAAGCCAGCAGCAGCCACCACCACCCCCCACCCCAGATGTGTTCCAGCCTGGGACTATCTCGGTGGCGGTCAGGCTTCCCTCAGCATCTATGTCAGAGTTCTCCCGCCAGCCTTTGGGTATCCTTATCCAGAAAGAGAAACCTAATTAGATGTCAGTTCCCTGTAGCACAGAGGGTGTGGCTACATGAGTTCACCCAAAGAAAAACAAATTTACCCACACCAAGGCCTAAAGATTCTCATTCTAAAACACCCATCACCAGTTTATTCGTTTTCTCTAAGAGCAATACATAGCGTTTTTCAGTGACATAGAGAAAGTGCAGCTCCCCCTCTGAAATGCTAAGGCACCGGGAAGCCTGAATTGCTTCCATAAGAATTTGAAATGTAACCCCCGCTTAATAAAACAACTCAGCCAACGACTTTACACATACACACAGACACCACTTCGCAATTATTGTTCAGTATCTATTAGGACAGGCAGACTGCAACAACAAATGAAACCATGTGTAAACGCAAATGACCTTTTTTTGGAGGGGGGGTGTCCAAAAGTTCCTCCCCTCCTTTCTCCAGTCTTCCTGAAATGACCTCAGTAAGAGAAGTCAATGGGTCACCCACGACTGCCCAGGGCAGCTTTCCCACACAGTTTTTCTCCTGCCTGGCTGAGTCCGAGGGGGCCCGAGAGCAGTCACCTGGGGCATCCCCCACGGAGTTCAACACCGCTGCACAGGCAGGGCTGCCGGGGCCACGCAGGAGTCTCACCAGGCGTGAAGCCAGCGTGAGGGGTGCATGTGCATATTTGTTATCTGTTGAAACACAAACATCCAACAGGGCTAGCGCTACCTTAGTATGGTAGACACACATTAACACACGACCTGCCAGAGCCTTTGAAAGGACAGAACTAGAGCACAGTATTTGGTGACCGACACATAGAAGAACAGACACAATAAAACTGAATGTTAGGGTCCTTTTCTAGCTCTCTGAGACCTTCAGGCTCACGACAGTTGTGTGTAATCAAAGCAAGTTTTTCTCAAGGAAAAATACCCAGTGAATCACCTCTGTGAGAAACCTCATGGTAAATGATGAAATCACATGGTGAATTCACAGCGGAAATGATGCTTCTCGGTGGATGTGGCCAGATAAGAGCTGTGGTCCAGGATTTACCAACATGCTGAGAATTTTGAAAGTGTATCCAAATTCTCCGAAATCCCTTTATATGGAAAGATGAATGGATATTCTAGGTAACAGGGATCCCCCTGCTGACAATTCTTGTCAGAATTCCTTCAGGACAGGCAGGCCAGCTTTTTGGCTTACATCCCAGTCAAGAACTTTCAGTCAAGATCTCTGCCTGAATTGTTTTAGAAATTAAGCAAAGCTCAGAATTCATTTAGCTCTAGAACTGGAAAAATCTTTAGAAATAAAGCCACCCGTGTCACATTTTAGAAAATCAAAACCCAGACATGTTTGGTGACTTCCCCAAGAGAAGTCAGTTTATTTAAATTGTCTGTCTAGTTTATTTAAACCCCAACTTTAAGATTATGAAAGGAGAGATGAGTTATTTTAAAAACTCAAATATAGCCGTCTCATGGACACTAACATACATCAAGAAAACAAAACGTCAGAGGAAATATAAAATCAGTGGACCAACAGCATCACTGCTCAAACTCAGTTTTGAGGGAGTTTCAGAAAAATCACCCACTTTTAGCACAACTTCTCTCTCCTAGCATCTGATCCCACTGACATTTTGATTCATTTTATCAGATTATAAGTGATGCTGTATTTAAGATGAAGAAACGGATGGTGAAATCTGAATCAGAATCCACAATAGAAGAGATTGTAATTAGGATAAAGTTAAACATCCATTAGCACTGGGAAATGTATTTAAGGGAGGGCAGACTTATTGGGGAGTTTTTTTTCGGGGGGGCTCTTTCTAGGTAAATCTTTTACTATTATTTACATAAAGTCCTTTTGGTAATGTGCACCAATATAAAAACTGACAAGACAGAGACTTACTTTTTTTCAAAAAATGAAACAAACTCTGTATGGAAAAAAATAAGAAGACACTTCTGATTTATCAATAGCATCACTAACTAAGATGTGAACATCCTCATAGGTTCCACCATGTTTCCAACCTTAATGCAAATCATTTTTCTAAGCCATCTAGGGACACACACAGGGCATAAACTTTCAAATTCCGCCCAAAACTAATTAACATGGATAAGCTGTAGATGTAATTGAATTCAACCATATCACCCATTTGAGAGGATTGGTTTTAAGGATCAGTCTTGCTCGTGAATGCTGGAAATGTGAGTGGACGTCCCCTCATTCAAACCAGAAAGGATGAAACTGAAGCCAGAGGGTGCTCCGGGGGTTCGATGTCACTGCCTTGTCTCTGTTAAAAGCCCTGGCCATCTGACATTTGATGACATGCCAGACCCCAAGTGTCTGAATCTCCTGTGACACAATCTGTTTATGATGAAGCCACGGGAAGTTGGGAACTCAGCGTGCAACCAACTCTACAAGTTACATATTATATAATGATGCCTCCAATATAAAGCGTGTCAGTTTCACGTCCACAGCAAATGGCTATTGATATCTAACATCTCATGCTCAGCGGCCCTTGACAGATGAGATGAGATGAGATGGTCTCACTGAGTTATTGCAATTGATGTAGAAAGACTCCTTATTCCTTAGTGAGCTCATTCTCCAGAGTCTAATCTGGGGCTATTTCTTAGATACCTCCACAAATACTTCTTTTAAATAGATTTTGTAAGCTTACAGAGTATTTTTATTGTTTTAAAATTCTTACTCAAACAAGCAGGATACAGGCATTTGAGAGACACTGTTTGAGTCTACTTGCACAAACATACATCACGATACATGTCTGAGGAGGTGTGAATTCAACTCAGTAGATATCGATTGCAAAAAAAATTGCACAATGAATATCAATCTAATTAAAAGTTCCTTAGCTTCTGCTTTTCGGTTTCCAAGTTTTCAGAATTATGCATGCAAGCTGACAGTAGTTTTTGATGTGACACAAATTTTAGTTAAATTCTAGGTTATATTATGGAAACTACATCTAGGAAGCACAGACTGTTACTATATTCAAATATATTAATTATGTAAAAGCATTATAAAAGAGAAACCTCTCTAAAACTCAGAGATGACTCTGAAAAAACAGCATGTAACATTATTCCAGTAAATTCCAAAGAATTCTAATTTTGCATTATTGTATTCCCACCACAAATGAATTTTCAACCCTTGATGGTCATCAGTCACAACAGAATTTCTGGTATTTAGTGCTAACTCTTGTGGCTTTTACTACCACAGAAACTGGGATCTAAATTATTGAACAGTCAGTGTTCAAAGGCTGTAAGAAGGAGGCATTCTTGCTAGATATCAAAAGGCCAGGAAGAATAGAATAGAAATATGAGTTTATTAAGATCCTTATTCAAAAGATTTTTTTAAATGTTCAATTTTTAAGATGTAGCTCACACATGACTGTCATCTCCCTCCATTTAGGGCACATCAGAAATCCAGTGAGCACCGCGCAAGCCTCCTCTCCTCACCCTCAGGCATTTCTGGGCATTTTAAATCTATGGGGACAAGTCTGAAACTCACCAGAAACTCAAAGTACTGACAGGTACAAGGAGAATTCTAGTAGTATGCTACTTATAAGTTCCTTTACAAATGCCTTACTATGAAGACATTACGGGAATCACTGCTTCCAGCTGACAGCAAATAAGAGTTCCCTAGTTTAATAACAAAATTATAAACACACATCAGAAAGAAGGATTTGAATGTCCCTGCACAACTGACATCTCAGTTTAATCACGGGCACCTCAGCTTAATCAGGAACATTGATCACTAGCACGCACTTGAACGTGAATGACTATTTCTTCCAAGGCAGCTAGCCTCCCTGTTCTGAAAGAAAAATAAAACCGGTCACTGAACCACAGCTCCAGCAGGACACGATCCAGCCACTGACAATACTGACTCCCAAGATAGTTTTTGAACGGCCCATTCAACTGACAACGTGATCGATTAACCGCACCTGAAACAGACCTCGGCTGGGGACGCTGCCTGGCCCCATCCACTGATCCGGCTTGCGACAGATCCAGGGGACTAGGAAACTGCACTTAGTCCTTACAGACTGCTCTCAGAGAACACCATCTGGGAGACCTTTTGCATCTAAGATTAAAGCCCCAAGGCTTACTGTGAGCCCGGCCTGCCTGCGGGAGGAGCAGGGGAGGGAAGCGCTTACTTCGAAAATGCTCCGAAGCGTAATAATAGACGTCCTCGTAGCCCTCGTGGTAATCCTCCTCGGGTCGGTACCTCTTCCCCTTTCTCCTCCTAGACCTTCTGACGGCCCTGATGAAGCCCAGGAAGCGGTCCATGTCTCCCCGCAGCCGGCACGGCGCCCCGAGCACCCGCAGCCCCGCCGCTGACCAGCACCTGCCCGGCCCGGGCAGCTGGCTACCCACCGGCTGGCGCCTGAGCCACCATCAGCGCAGGCACTTCGGC